GCACAATTCACCCGCCAGTCCGCCTCCACTCGACCCGCAACCTCCGCATCACCGCCCTCGGCAAGGGCGGGTCCCTCCTCATCATGAACACAGTCCCCAGGACATTGTCCCGGCATCGACATCGCATCTATCGACCCACCGATCGGCGATGTCCTCCATCCCACCAATGGCTCATCTGGCATCGACAATTCGTCTGCCTTCCCCCTCTCCGGTGACGCCCCCTCCACCGGACGATTCCCAGGCGTCGCAAACACCTCCCACTGCCTCATGCTCCTCTACCCTTCTTTCAAACCCATCCACGGTCACCTTCTCCGATGTTGTTGACGGACAAGCTCGACACGATTGGCTTGTCCGCTTAGGCAACGAACAACGCCGCCTCAACACCATCATCTCCACCGCCAACTCATCTCGTTTCCACCTCAAATTCATCGCCGCCACCCTTGGTGCGTCTACAACTAAGTTTCGGGCCTCCCTTGACATTGGAGCCACCGGTAACTTCATCACCGACGCGTGTGTCAGCAAAGCCGGTCTTACCTCTACCGGTTATGACTCCCCGATCACGATTCGCCTAGGGGACAAAGACATCGCCGTCGTAGTAGACCACACGGTTCCCGAGACCACCATGACCGTCGAAACCCTCCGCAGTCAGGTCTCGTTTGATGTCATGCAGTTGATGTGCGACATCGTCTTAGGAACCCCGTGGCTAGACCTCTACATGCCATACGCATCCCACCCCAACTTCCTTCGCCTCACCGACCCCCCCGACATCCCCTATCTTCCATATCCGACCTCCCAAGGCTCCATCACCCCGCACCAATTCCTCCACATGGCTCGCCTAAACCCCAACTCCGCCTACTATAGTCTTGTCCTTGATCACGGAAGTCCCGAGAACTTACTCCCGATGGACAAACCCGATCAAGCCCCCCCCTCCAACCCCGCCATCACCTCAATCCTCGGCGAGTTCAAGGACGTCTTTCCTGAGTCCTTACCCGCCGGACTACCTCCGGATCGTGGCGTATCCCATCCCATCAACTTGGAACCCGGACATTCTCCACCTTGCCGCCCTCCATACCAACTCTCTGTCCCCAAAGCCGAAGAAATGAAGCGGCAACTCAGTGAACTCCTTGAAAAAGGGTTCATTAAGCCAAGTTCATGCCCCTTTGGAACCAGCTGCCTTTTTGTCAAGAAAGGTGGAACTTCGGAACTCCGTTGTCGGTGCGAATACCCTTACAAGGGTATCCGCCCTGGTTTTTGCAAGTGACATAAAATAAAATTGGTTTAAAAGTTTAAGTATACCGCGCGAGGCGCGGCTGCATCTACGGTTTACGTTGACTGAGTGGCCGACTAGAGAAGAGAGTGTGTGGGCGCGCAGATTTGAGGCGCGCGTGATCTTTTTAATTGTTGATGATTGAAGAGCTGGCGTGATCGCCGGCCAGGCCTTTTTGTTCTGATTAAACTAGGATTAAAGAGATTATGTTTCGTTGATTGATGCGCTTGCCTATGACTTGTGCGTACGTGCGGAGGGTGGCATCGACAAACGGCGTGACTTTGAGAACGTTCCGGTAGGTCTGCGCGTCGTGCAATATCGGTTTATTTAGATGTCCGTCAGAGCTAGACCTTGCCTTGGGCCTAGCACTAGCGGTTACGGCGTCAGACTATCATCAAAGAGATTCAGGGATCGAGGCCAGCGGCAACATCACAGGAGTATCGGAGCGGCGAGGAGCCTAGGGGTTGAGAGCCCGACGGGGCTATCCCCCTTGATTTTGCCGTCGCCAACGCCAGAACGGTGCCTAGTTCAACATGTTCTGACGATCAAAAGTTTCTGAATATGTTTATTATTTTTTGTCTTATTATTATTATTATTATTTATCTTTGCGTCAGCGACTCGTTGACCTGGACGCGACGCCGGATTTTGCGGCCGTCACGGGGGTCGAGGACCTTGAGTACGTGCCTCTTTTGATGAGTCCGTTCGGGTTTCTGCGTGTTCGAGATGCTGGTAGAGGTCCTTGGTCCCGCCATCTTACGACGCGGACCGGGGGAGTCAATGCACCTGCGAGCATGGGTGATTGGCCCACGAAGCGGAGGAGGCTTTAGTGGCGCGGGCCCGTTGCGGATGTCCGGCTTGTCACCCATGATCTATTGTGAGTGGTTTGTGTGAGAGCATGCCCGTTGAGGGCTCGAGAGGGTGACGGGCTCTGCCTAAGCAGAGCGGACAAGAGGGCATAGTGGCGAAAGCTGCACTGTGGCCGTCCCATGGGACCCTTTCCACTTCGGTCTCAAAAGTCCCCGATCGGCTATCTGCTACTACTACCAAGATCTGCACCGGAACCCGTTTTCCTAGGCCGACGCTATAGGCTCCACAGCATGTCTGCGCCCTCCTGCTTGCTGAAGTGTTGGGCTGGCCAGGATAGTTGGGCATAAGTCACGGGCTACGGCGCTATGGCACGGACGGGGAGGCTGGCAGCGGTACCAGCTGAGCACACTGCTCGTCGGGCTTGCGCGTGGGGGCGGAAGATTGACGGACCGACTAGTAGCTGATTCCATTTGAAGTTTCCTTCAGGATTGCTGGACCTGTCACTGTGAGGCATGTTGGCATCGGAATTGCGCTGGCCGAAAAGGAAAGAGACGACGGGCGCTAGGAGGAAAACGATAGCGGGCGCTCACACTGAGGAAAAGGGAATAGGAAAAAGGGTGAATGGGGACGAGGGGCAGTGTCGGGTGCATGCGAAGGAGTGAGCCATGGCGGAGGCAAGCCGGAGCAGGAGAAAGCCGAAAAAGATAATCTAACCCGTTGCTCCATAAAAACGGATGGGGTAAGAGGCGATACTGGGGTTTTTGCCACAGACGAGCGCGTTGGTACCGCTAGTTTTAGTGTTAGTAATGTGAATTGAGAGTTAGATTGATATAGTGATGCGCGGTGATGGCGGGTAACAAAAGTTATCAGGTAGAAATAGTATAGTTTGCCCGATTCTTAGCAGAACCAGGCGAACCAGAGGTCAATCTGGGGTTTTGAGGTAAGGTGAACTCAATGGCGATGTTAGTTTTGACGATAGAGGGCTAGTATGGGAGCGATAGAGGATAGGAGCTGCGCGAACAGAGGGAGATGACGAGCAGGGCAAAGCGGAAAAACGCAGAGCTCGCTCGTTTCTAATTGAAAACGGGTGGGGTAAAAGTCTATATCGAGGAATTGAGGAGCTGCGAGTTGAGTAGCAATATCGAAATCGGCAATAGAACAGTTGTTTTGACGACACAGGCGTCTTGAGCTGCGCAAAGAAATACTTTAAAAAGAAGAGGATGAATCTTGACGCCTTTTAGTGAAGGATTCGTTCCAGTTTCGCCAGCTTGCTGATAGAGCTGGCTCCCCTATATTCCACCGAGTGTAGAATTGAGAGGTAGCATATAACCTCTTGTTCATTCGTTGGATTCAATTTCCATTGGTTGAGCTCGTGGTATTTCACCTCGGTAGTGGTTTTCTCCCTCGTTGCCTGTGAAGACGAGTATATTAAAACGACCCTCTAATAAGGGACGTTATAAAGGAAAAAGAGGGAGGCCAACGCGAGGGTGGGAGCTTACCTGTTGATTGGTACGGTGCTCATCTTGGTGAATGGGGAGCGAGAGACCAGCCACAAGGTTAGGAGGTGTATTCGACGGCCCAGGAACGACTCTTCTCACCGAAGTAAGGGAACTAGGAGCGAGCAGCGGGGCGGGAGGATGTACCTATGAACCGACGTATTGCGCGACCGCAGAACGGGGGAGGAAGGGTGTATGTACCTAGCGGAGGTATACGGGAAGTGTCATAAGCAAATTATCTTCCTGTGTTTTCGGAGGAGTCCTTCTCATTTTGCACAGAGGGAGGCTGATCAATCAATGCGCGTGTTAGGCTGTTGCGCTGCAGTCGTGAGGTCGAATCCAGCAGCCAAGCTCAGTTGGTAGAGGTACTTGAATGGCACTCAGGAGGTCGTAGGCTCAGTCCCCATTTGGCTGCGTACGCATCAGCAGGCTTGGCACCCGCCATGTAGAAAAATACCAACTTGACATTTGAGCAGGAGGTGGCAAATACAGATGGGGCAGTGACCAAGTTACGCTATGGTTGCTTGAGCTGGTGCGTTTTTCACTTTACCATTGGGGCCGAGTGAAGCCATTATTTGACAAGTGCGCTGCTCATTACATTGTCAAAGCAGCAACGGGCCAGTTTGCGGGGCACAAACTTGACTACTGGCTGTTGGGCTGTTTATCCTCGCTGAGGAGAGTAGTAGGAGGTAAGCTGAAGGGGAGGGGGTCTTCGCTACGATGAGAAGGGTTGTTAGGAAGTCAACAACAACAGTTTGACTATAGTTGACCAAGTTGTTGTTGCGTGTTGGCCATCATTGCGGGGCTCTCAGGCGCTGGAAGATAACAAGGCCCTCTCCTGAAAGTTGATTTTGTCCCCCTCCTGTACCTCGAGAGTCTCAAACCCCTCATTCTGTCTTTCTAACTCTCAGTCTAGTCCTGTTGCGAGAGGAACGCGAAAGGCGGGATTGCAACCCTTAGGACTGCAACTAGACTCTGTGGGGAGTCAACCCACCGATTGTAGGAGCTCTGCCAGAACTCGGGAGGAGTTATGGAGGCAGGGAACTGAGAGGTAACCATGGCTTTCCTTCTATAAACCCAGTTATAACCCCTATCTGTATTTCTTGCAATATTTGACTGACTATAATGCCTGCGTCCCTAGTTTGACTCTGAGTTTTGACTTTCAGGACAAACCAGACTCAATTAAAGGAATGATTGTACAAATTGCAGTTTCAGGTTGTTGGTTTGACTGAAAGCAGATTGTGGGGTTGCATCTCGGGGAAGGATGGGAGGAAGGCAGCATTGCATGTTTGACTGGGTCAACCAAAGGCTGGGAGAGTCTCCATAAGATTGGAGGGCCCAGCGCTATGTTTATTTTTGATTGCCTGAAGGACCAGACAGGTTCCCATAAGATTGGGTGGTCTGGTTGCTTTGACTTGCGAGGGCTGTCTGTGCTTGATTTTCAGGGACCAAGCATTTTCCATAAGATTGGATGGCTTGGTTGCCTTGTTTTCCTTGGGGTTTTCTTATGTTTTGTTAGTTTATGAAAGGGGGTTGGGCAGGTTCCATAAGATTGGATGACCTTCACCCTCTCTTGCTTTATTCTGAAGGGGGAAATTCAGGCAAAGGACTGGACAGGTTCCCATAAGATTGGGTGGTCTAGTCTGGAGCCGCGCACAGGCTAGTCAGACATTTTTCCATAAGATTGGATGGTCAGACTATAGCTTATCACCAACTGAAGAGAGTATGAATTAAGAATAAAAATTGTGGTAAGAAGGGACAGGCTGAATCTTGATCTAATATGACCGGTTCAGTCATAGGTTGCCTTAAAAGACAAAGTGCATACATTTATATATAACTTAGATACTTAAATGGTCCAAGGCGACTAGGCTGGCTAACCTAGTCATATGCCCAAAGAAAAGAAAAGAAAAGTTGTAGTGCCCTGTGTTTGTGTATAGTTTACGGTTGAGCTAGACAGGTTCCCATAAGATTGGGTGGTCTAGCTTTATGCCTTATGCAAGTTGGGTATAAAGGGATAAATCATTAAAAGATCATGAACTATTGTTTGATAAATCTGACTTTGGGGCTGGTGAGAGTACTTACCTTTGTGGTTTTGGCCTGCATGTGACTGAGTGAAGCTACTACTTAAGTCTGAGTTTCAGTTGATCGGTAGTTGCTTTAGTTGCTCGCCACGTGCTAGGGCCATAGGAGTTAGTTTCAATTCATGCATTTTCTGAGCTAAGTTTATTTTCACTTAGGCCGATTTCTTCATTTTCATGGATCATTTATTATACTTGGTCTTCTATAAATCTTGGTAAGCCACTTTCTCTATGGAAAGCGCTGCCGAAATTTCTACAAAACCAAGGAGTTAGTTAGATTTTGTTTTCTTCAGGGTCCAGTTTTTCTGACTTTTTGGCTTAGTAAAAATATGAAAAACCTCCTTTTCTAAAAGGAGTGTTGCCCAAATTTTTGCTAATTCAGGGAGTTAGACAAAATTGGACCTTGAGAAGTCAAAGTCATTTTAGATTCTGAACTTCGCATTATATGAAACTTGGAATAACACTTTCTCTACGGGAAGCGTTGCCGAAATTTCTACAAATCTAAGGGGTCAGTTGAACTTTGTCTTGAAGTCGAACTCAAGTTTAGCTTCTGAGTTCCTATCTGACTTAGTATAAATCTGGGGACTCTACCTTTTTAAAGGAGATGCTGCCCAAATTTTTAATAATTCAGGGAGTTAGACAAAATTTGGCTTTCCAGAATCAGAGTTTGAATTTTGTTTTCATATTTGAGTCAGTATATATTCTGCAAAGGCACTTTTCCTACGGGAAGCGCTGCCAAAATTTTCTTAGTTTAGAGGAGTGAAATTATATTTTGACAGGTGACAGGTCTGACAATCCAGTCTGTATAGAGGAGATTCTGCCAAAGGTCTACCTTTTCCTTGGGCACTGACTTAGGGGTAGACTCAGGCTTAGTTAAGTAGAATGATTCTTGGTGAAATCGTGATATGGAGATTACCCTCGATTTGGACTCATAGATCTAGCTTAGGGATTGATCTGTCTTGTGTTACAGGTCCTCTTGAACGTTTGATTCGAAATCAGGACTAGATTCAACTTGATCCAACAAGGATCACCTTCTATTATCACTGATAACAGATCGGTTGCCGATTCGTCGATCTACGACTCAACTCCAATTCATCCTCAATGCTCAACCTAAAAGGCTTTAGTCCTGGTGATTTTCGTTGTTTTATTAAGGTTTTCACCCGGACTTTCATTGAATGGCCATTTAACAAAGGTACCGAGTATTTAATTATGGTTGGTTGGACAAGAGGTGGGGCTTGCATGGCTAAAACAAGGGGCATGAGTATAGAGGTTGGTGGAAGTTGACCCCGTGTAGTGCGTGGACTCTTGGTTGACTTTTTGATGTGATTGCAAGTATGTACTATGGTTCGGATTTTGGATTTGACTGTCTGCGATCACACATATATATGGCTCTGAGGAGTCCCACTGTGATTGTGAGAAGTGATCATCACATACTTATCCCCCTTTTGCATATATATATGTATGTATCTATATTGGGTGTTTGTGTGGCCTGAGGGGCCCACGCTCAAGGGTTTAGTTGGGGTCGAGATTGAGAAAGGAAAGAAAACCCTGTTTTTATTATTTGAGTACTTCTTAAAAGATTTCTTAGTCGGACGTTGGTCCTGGGCCTAGATTTGAGGTCCTTGTCCAGGACATCCCAGGTCCTAGACTCTGCATGGAAGGGATCTCCCCCCACGTAGAGCCTATTTGCCCTGCCCGACTCTCAGCCTAAAGGTCGGAGGGGCCGAGGAGGCCGCACGTCTATTCCTTCAGTCGTGCAATATCGTGAAGGGGTAGACCCTCACCATACTTCGAGTTTGACACTTGAGTGTCATAAGCGGTACTCGAATCCACGAGGGACCGCTTGATTATGGGCACTACATAGCACGCTATCATTGCGACTGCTTGCGTATTCATGCATTGCTAATCGATATGGGAAGACCATGCACCCGCATCGGTTTATACTAAAGTCTCGCGTGCGACGCCTGTCCGATTTCCACATATGAAAGTTATGGGATGGCTACTAAGGGACTAGGAGTATTATCGCGTTTGTTTGTTCTGTGTCGTTCTGTATATGTGCGTATCTGTGCGTGTTTTAATTTTTATGTCTTTAGAGTGGAGTACGCGTGGCGTGTGGGATACGTCCTAGTCGACCGACGACGAGTCGCGCTTGGAACCTCAGCCCCCCAATGCGTTGGTTCGCGTGCGGGTCCGATAGAGGCGTAAAACCGCGCGTACCCCCAATGCTAAAACACCCTCGGCTGGTCCACCTCTGCGATTGCAGCTGATTAGCTTTCGTACTGTGGACTGGTAGCTCGGCGGGGATACGCCCACCGAAGGGAGGTGACAACTCTCGTAAGGTGGAGGTAATTTGTGCCTCGCGTAGGCCCTATCCTGTCGTAGGGGCTCACGAGAGGTATGGCTGGCGCACTCGGTCGGAGCGGCTTGCGGAAGCTCCATATGTATTCGCGACGAGGATAAAATCGATGCACGGCCGGGAGGGTCCCGCCCCGTTTCCTGCGGTGCCGGACCGATGCGCTCAAAACCGCATGTGCACAAACTATCGCACCTTGAACAGGATCACGATCAAGAACAAGTACCCCCTACCTCGGATTTCCGAGCTCCTTGATCGTCTTCGTGGAGCCAAGTACTTTACCAAGATCGACCTTCGCAGTGGCTTCCACCAGATCCGTATCCGCAAGGAGGACACCCACAAGACCGCCTTCCGCTCTCGGTTCGGGCACTACGAGTTCCTCGCGATGCCATTCAGACTCACCAATGCCCCTGCTACCTTCCAATCTACCATGAACCACATCTTCCGCAACCCTCCGAAGTCTGTGTCGTCGTCTACCTTTATGACATCCTTGTCTTCAGCCCCACCTTCGAGTCCCACCTTCAACACCTCCGCCAAGTCCTCTCGATCCTCCGAGAGGAAAAATTCTACGCCAAGCTCAGCAAATGTACGTTTGGCGCTTCGAGCGTCGAATACCTCGGCCACATTGTCTCCGCTAGAGGCCCTCGTCGAGTACCCCCCACCCAAGACCCTCCTCCAACTCCGTTCCGTCCTCGACCTTGCCAACTATTACCGCTCGTTCATTCACAACTTTTCCGAGATCTCTTACCCTCTCCACGAACTCACCCGCAAGGGCGAGCCCTTCCATTGGAACGATCGTTGCCAACACACTTTCGACTTACTCAAGCAAACCATCACCTCGGCCCCTGTCCTCAAGATCGCCGACCCCACTCGCCATTTCTATGTCACCACTGACGCCTCCGACTTCGCCATYGGAGCCGTACTGTCCCAACATTTTCCTTGCGACACCGTCGAGACCCCCTCCACCAAGGACTCGCCCACTCACCCCGAGGCTCCACCTGGCGATTACCCCATCGCCTTCGCAAGCAAGAAGCTCCTTCCCTCTGAGATAGATTACCCCTGCAACAAGAAGGAACTCCTCGCCGTGATTCAGGCCCTCACAGTCTGGCGCCCTTACCTCGACGGGCAATACTTCACCACGTTGCTCGCCATCACGGCCTCCTCGAGAACATCATCAGTGACCGTGATCCTCGCTTTCTCTCACAATTCTGGAAACACCTCTTCACGGCCTACGGAACCATGCTCAAGTATAGCACTGCATTCCATTCACAATACTCTACAAAGAATCATGCGGAAGTATTGTCATCCTCACCAACACGATTGGGATCAATTGCTCACAGCCGCCAAGATTGCCTACAACAACGCGGTCTGCCCTTCCACCGGCATGTCTCCATTCTACCTCGACCTTGGCTACCAGCCTCGCTTGCCCTATGACTTCTTGCTTCCTTCGCAGCTTAACCCATCCACCCCCTGCCCCTCTCTCAATGAATGGGTAGCAACAATGAACAAACTCCCGAGAGAAGCCTCCAAAGCCATTGAACGAACCCAAGAACAACAAGCCAACAAGACTAACAAACATAGACGCGACGTGTCATTCAAAGTAGGGGACAAAGTCTGGCTCTCCGCCAAACGCTTTGAACCTGAACACGGCTTGTCCAAAAAACTCTCCAACAAATGGCTCGGTCCCTTCCCCATCATTGAACAAACCTCCCCCGTCAACTACAAACTCCAACTTCCCCCTGACATGAGTTGTGTCCACCCAGTCTTCCATGTCGAGTACCTAAAAGAATACCATGAATCCCCGCCCCAGTTCACCGACAGCCCATATCCTAGACCTCCACCAATCATGCTACCCACAGGCCCTGAATTCGTTGTCGAAACCATCATCGGCCGACGAACCACTCAGGTATCTGATCATCCGGAATCCCGACCGCCCATATCCTAAACCTCCACCAATCATGCTACCCACAGGCCCTGAATTCATTGTCGAAACCATCATCGGCCGACGAACCACTCAGGTATCTGATCATCCGGAATCAATCACTGAATACAAAGTCAAATGGATCGGATACCCCGACGAAGAATCTACATGGGAACCTCTCTCTAATCTTAAGAACGCCATGAAACTTGTCCGCGCCTCGTGCTAATCCTATGTCCTGGATACCTATATAACTATGGCATAAACCCTGCTACAACCTCTTAACCCCGCTCTACACACACCCTTGAACACAGTCCACCCTCCCCCTGACCCTCATTCCTGATGTCTGATTTGCCCTTGCCCTCGCCTAGCCTTGTCCCATCTGTCCTCTCCACTACCTTGTCTCTCTTGTCCAATGCTTGTGAACCTGCGTAACGCCGGCGATAAAGGATCTAATGGCAAGCGCACGAGGACGATGGCCTTCTGCCTCACTGTTCATGGAGATTATGCAGCTGGTTTGCCCACCATGCTGTTTCATCGGCTGGCATCCCGACTCGCGGACTTACTGGAGCAGCAACTTGTGACATGGATCTTTGCATCAGTCTGCGACTTCCTTGCTTCCTGATCAGACCTCATTGCAGTTCGTGTACCAAACGCACCCTAGCACTTGGACTTTGACACTTGAACTACTACTACGCTTCTTGGACTTCTACATATCGCAGCCGCTGAAGATCGCTTCTACCACCTACTCCAAAGACCTGGTCAAGACCGCTGCAGAACCCCTTTCAAGACACTTGGGACACTGTTCCTACATGAGATTCTGCTTCCTACTCCTTCGGACACACCAGCCCTTGCATCCTGAACAAACATTTTCATTTTTTTATTTTTCCTGGCTTTGACAACCTTGTAGAACATCATTAGCAGATCCCTGTTTCCCTAACCATTGTTCCCCGTACCCACTAGAACATCAATAGACATCCCCTGTTCCCCTGACCATTGTTTCCCTTACCCACTAGAACATCAATAGAAATACCCTGTTTTCCTGAACACCGTTTCCCTTACCCAGCAGAACATCAATAGAAGTTCCCTGTTCCCTTAACTTTGTTCCCCCTTAACCTATAGCAAACCATGCAGTCCCCTTAGTTCATCAGTAGGACTACCCTGCTCCCTGCCGTCCCTTTAGTTCATTTGTAGGACTACCCTGTTCCCTGCAACCCCCCCTAGTTCATCAGTAGGACAACTCCATTCACCGGTACCAAACCCTGTTCCCTCTTACTCCCGCAGCCCATGCCACCCACATTATACCCCTCTTCCCTTTCGACTTGTTAACCAGTGATCGGCCCCGTCCCATCCTTCACAGATTTCAGCATTGCTTCATGATTTTTGGCAGCCGGGACGTTGCCTTCTAGAGGGAGCGGATAGTGTTACGGACTCCGCCAGGGCTCAATCCCTGGTCTATCTTTTTGCTGTTTCGGCTGCATCCCGTTTTCGGCCTGGCACCCTTTTTCCAAACCCCTCCTTTCGTACCGTAGGATTTTGGACAACTGGCGCCATGCTGCAATTCGGGCGCCACTTTCAAACACCGCATTTTTCAGTTCTGCCCTCGGGGCCTTTGCAGAAATGACCCTGGTACCGTACGTGTCACCGGTACTTATACCGGCTCCCCGTAAGGTACGGGGACCGGTCTCGTACCAGTTTCCAGCTGCTGTACTCGTACTCCGTGTGACTTGCTGTTTCGGCATTCCGGAATCCAAGACCTCGACTTTGTGCCCTTGCCACTGTGTCTGTGTCCGACCCTCAGTCGAGTCGAGTGAGTGAGTGTGTGTGTGTGCTCTCACTCTCTCCCTCTCTCTCTCCCTCTCTCTTGGCTCTCCCTCAGCCTCGCGCGTGTTACATCCCAGAAACTTCACGTGCAGTTCAGGAGGCAGGAGGTAGTCTTCAGGATTCGGCAGCAGCACTCTGGAGGAGGGCTGCAGGAGTAGTGGTAGCACTAGCAGTAGTCTTCAGCGTTGGGCGCTTGTAGCGTTAGCAGTAGTCGTCAGCGCTGGGCGCCATAGGATCTAGAATAGTACAAGAGAGAGAGATTGGGCGGAGGCCAGGGAGACTTACCTTCGGCGCCATAGCTCCAGCTCCGTCTTCGAGGTACCTGCAGCACAGTACCATCTTCACAGGTTCGTACCTGGCATGTGTGTGTGAGAGAGAGAGAGTTCTTCTTCTTCCTCTTCTCAGTCCACCATCTCCCTCTCAATCTCTCGCTATCTGACTTCACTGCATCAGCAGACTACGAGGGGGAGAGAGCTTGGTGACATTTGGATCCAGACTCGATGTTGGGCTTCAAACATTTTGACGAGGGATTATTTGGGACTTGTAACGAAGACTTGGTGTTGAAGACTTTCCCATCTCCCCCCTCCTCTTCTTCGTCTGTTCCCCTCCTCTTCGTTTGTGCATGATCAGGACCTGGCGCATTCTTCCTGTGTGTAGCGCCAGGCCTCCTTCACACCTCGTGATGAAGATTATGTATGTTTAGTCTGCATTGCAACATTGATTGGGCTCGTCATTGGTATTCTAGCATTCTGCTGCGCTATCTTGTACTACGTGAGAGAGGTGAGTCCCGGTCAGTACAGGACTTGTATCTAAGTCTTCCCCTGCGCTATAAAGCACCATCTTTGTATATATCATAATGTACACTGCTTGTTGAGATTCTACTTGCACTGCATTGTCCATTCAGTCATTTTCATCACATTGCGGATCCTCGATTTTATATGTACATCGCCCAACTGGGCATGTAACAGTTGGTATTGGAACACCGCACGAGAATCAGGACAACCTGATCTGACACGTGTGCGAGGACTAGGTAGCTAATTAGTCTTGATTGATCGATCAGAGCACACTAGTTATCCCCCAAAATCACGATTTTGACCTCACTGCCAAAAATCGAATTTGTTTTTCTTTTCTTGGATTTTGTTTTCTCGCTATTTCTGTTGTGGAAAATCGCAATAGCGCAACATCTGAAATTTTTGTTTTCGTTTTTCTTCTGAAAATTCGAAATTTCGTTGTTAGAAAATCCGAAATATCTTTTTTCGAAAATTTCGATTTCCTTTTGCAATTTCCCGTAATTTAGAAATCCGGAATATTTTTTTCCAAAATTCGTACGAGAAATCCCTCTTGCAGTTATCATTCCCTTATTGTGCGTACTCTCATCTGAGTAATTCCGAATATTTGGGAGGCCTACTAAACTTGCAAACGAGTGTTTTTTCTTTTTCTCAAAATTTTTTGCAAAGCCCAAACTGAAATTTTTTATTAGTGGCTCCTTATCTTGGCGATTTATCTCACCCACCCCTCCCCACGTCAGCAGGCCACGTCAGCCGACAGCACTGCCATGTCAGCAGCAGGGAGTACCACATCAGCAGGCCCCCGGCCTGGTCTATGCTGTTGCGCTCGCAAACAGCCGTCATGGACCAGAAGTCCGAGGAAACGGACGAGGCCTATCAGGCCCGGATGGTGCTTCTGATTACCGAAGCTAAGCACCGATCGGATGCAGTAGCAGCCGCAACAAAGAAGGAGGCAGAGGACACCGAGAAGGCACGTCTGTTGGCAATTGAACAACAGCGACAACAAGACGAGGCAGCAGCAAAGGCTGCCGATGAAGAACGACTTCAATGACGCGAGAAGATATTCAGCGGAGAGCGATCTTTGCTCACAATGGCAGTGGACTGGCAGGCCGAGGCTGAGAATGGGAAGCTGGAAGAGAGTGGAAACAAGATCGCTCTACTCCTCTCCCATCTCACGGACCTCCTGGCCACGTGCATTGCACAGCAGGAGGACATTCACAACCTCGACGACGCGGTTCAAACGAACAATCAGGTGTTTGACCAACTCACTAGCTGCCTCCAGCAGCTCGAACAAACCGTCGCTGCCCCCGTTGCCAACTCTTCCAGCACCTCCGATCGCCTCGAGGCATTGGTGATTGACGTCGGATCCCTCAAGGACGGCGCGTAGTTACAGCAAAATGCCACGCAATAGTTGGAGCAGCGGATCTGTACTGCCACCACTCACTCGAGATCGGAACCACGCGAGACAACTCCAAAGTTCGATGATCAGGAGATCTTCTGCGATTCGACGAAGACGGACCCGATTCTGTGGTTCCGTAAGTTCGAACTCAAGTTGCAGCTACACTACGTCAGCGAGCACAAGCATCACGCGTACTTATACTCCAGCTCGGGGGGCACGTGCCAAGCATGGATGGACAATCTCCTGTCCAAGTACGGAGTGGTGGCTGCCGACTTGCATACCAAGATCAGCTGGCATGATCTAAGGGCAGCGTGACATAAGCGGTTCCAAGTAGAGCCGCCAGAGATCAAGGCAATGGACAAGTTGATGGTCTTCGAACAAGGCACGCTGCCGAGTGTTGACTGAATGGCCAAGTAACAACGCTTGACATCCGTGCGCAAGGACAAGACGTGTGTGCGGCATCTTCTCCATTCGGCAGCGGGGACTTATCGTCTTCAAGTGGTTCTTCACGGGATTCGGCGCGCGAGTTCAACATAGAGGATTTCGCATGGCTTCCTTTCCCGACCACGGGCCGCTTGCCGGGACCGCAATGCGCAACATTATGCGCTCATCTTCACACGTACTTATCCTTCTATGCACCACCAACTTCGCCGACGGATGACGAAGTCGCGGTGGGGGCCATCCTTGCGTATGTTACCAAGGTGGCCCGCAAGTTTCGCAAGCAGCGGTACGATGACAACAACACACCACTCCTCTATGTCCGCAATCTGGTTGGGTAAGCGTCCTGCAGCGCTTTGCTGGATAGCGGCGCGTCTCGCAATTTTATGAGCCAAGCCTTTATGCAAAGGGCTAGCCTTGGCGCAAAAGTTCGAAGGAAGACAAACCCGATGGCGATCAAGTTGGCGGACGGAAGGATGCAGCAACTTTTCGACCGCTACATCGAGGCCGTACCAGTGTATTTCGCGCCACATGCACGCAAACCGGTGACGTTCGACATTTTAGACACGGACTTTGACATTATTTTGGGAATGCCTTGGCTTGCAAGTGCGGATCACACGGTCAACTTCCACTGGCGGACTCTTACCGTTCGCGACACTTTCGCCGCAGAAGTACCGTGTACTATTCCTCTTCCGCACCCTTCGATTCGGCGCCAAGTGGTGACAGCCAAGTCATTCCGGGCTACTTGTGCTTACGAGCAACCCGACGAAATCGGCCTATGTTTCCTACGGACCGTCGTGGTAACCGACTCTTCACCCACGGACTTGTCTTCAGACCCCCGTGTGGTGCGGTTGCTTGACGAGTTCACCGACATCTTAGAGTCACCTACCGGTGTGGTGCTGGATCGACCAATCTCTCACGAGATCATTCTTGAGGCCGGTGCTGTGCCGCCAAAAGGTTACATTTATCGCATGAGCGAGGAGGAACTTACGGTCCTTCTCGCGCAACTCGATGACTTGTTGGACAAGGGCTGGATCCGCCCTAGTAGCTCTTCATATGGAGCGCCAGTTCTCTTTGTATGGAAGAAGAACAAGGATTTACGACTGTGCATCGACTACCGCAAGCTCAACGCGCAAACCGTCAAGAATGTGAAGCCTCTTCCTCGCATCGACGATCTTCTTGAGCGATTGGGCGGCGCAAAGTATTTTTCTAAGTTGGATTTGAAGTCGGGATATCATCAAATCTCAATTCGTCGGAATGATCGCTACAAATCCGCGTTCAAGACGCGGTACGGGCATTTTGAGTGGGTGGTCATGCCTTTTGGCCTCACCAACGCCCCGACGACCTTTCAAGCGACAATGACCAACAGGTTCCGTGCGACGTTGGACTGGTTCGTGCTGGTCTACTTAGACGACATTCTCGTCTATAGCCGGTCATTGGAGGATCATCTTGAGCACCTTCGATGGGTGTTGGGGACACTCCGCCACGCCAAGTACAAAGCCAACCGCGACAAGTGCGAATTTGTCCGGCAAGAGCTGGAATACTTGGGCCGTTTTGTCACACCGGAGGGCATCAGTCCGTTGTCGGACAAGATTCAAGCCATCCAAGAGTGGTCAGAGCCGCGGAACGTCACGGATGTCCGTTCGTTCCTTGGCCTTGCCGGCTACTACCAACGTTTTATCAAGGGATACTCTAAGATTGCGGCCCACTTGTCCAAGCTTCAATGCGAGGATCGAATGTTTGACTTGCGCGGGAATCGTTTTTGGCTTTCAAAGCCGCTCTATCATCTGCGGAGGTCTTGCGAATCTACGACTCACTATTGCCGACGCGCGTCACTACGGATGCGTCCAGCTATGGCATTCGTGTCGTCCTCGAGCAACACGATGGCGTGGACTGGCACTCGGTCGAGTACTTCAGCAAGAAAGTGTCCGTCGTGCATTCCATTTACGATGCACGCAAGAAGGAGCTCCGAAGTGCCCGTCGTGCACTCCATTTACGATGCACGCAAGAAGGAGCTCCTAGCCTTCGTCCACGCACTCAAGCGGTGGCGGCACTTCCTCCTTGGTCGAAGTCAATTCCGATGGGTAACGGACAACAACCCATTGGTCTTCTACAAGACCCAAGACACCGTCAATAGCACCATCGCCCGTTGGATGGCTTTCATCGACCAATTCGACTTCTTTTCCGATCACATTCCCGAGAAGTCGAACCGTTTTGCGGATGCTCTTTCACGACGTCTGGATCATTGTACCACAGTCTACTCGACCTTCGAGATCGGCGACGACCTGCGGGACAGCTTCATCCGCGGCTACCAAGCCGACCCCGAGTTTCACAACAAGTACGCGAATTGCTCCTCGCCTAATCCGACACTTTCTCACTACCGGATCCAAGAGTGGTACTTGCTTGTCCACACGCGGGGGAAGGACCTTTGCGTACCGAGTGACTCTCACTTGCGTACACGGCTTCTTGGCGAGTTCCACGATGCCCCCGCCACCAGACACTTTGGAGTCAATCGCACGATTGGCCGACTCCGCGAGTGATTTTGGTGGCCCGGCCTTCTTGACGATGTCACACGCTATTGCGAGTCATGCGAAGTTTGCCGACGCTTCAAATCCCGCAACCATCGTCCGTACGGCGAGTTGCGACCGTTACCGGTCCCCTTGTGCCGAATGGAAGCGATTGCCATGGACATTACCGGACTGTTCCCCAAGCACAAGACCAGCGTGGATGGGATTCTCACGATGGTCGACTGACTCACCAAGTTTTCCATGTTTTTTGCCTTGCCGCTATCATGCCAAGGCACCGAAGTTAGCCGAGGTTCTTTACGACGGTTGGATTCGAACCAAGGGTTACCCCAAGGAAATCGTCTGCGACCGTGACACTCGGTTCATGTCCGATTTTTGGTTGGCGCTCATCAAACGGTGGGGCTTATCTCTCAAGCCAAGTTCGGCTCGCCACCCCCAAACTGATGGCCGAACGGAGAGGGCGCATCAGACCGCACAGGTTCTCCTTCACACTCTCATCCGTCCCGACCAAAAGGATTGGGTTGAGCGGCTGCTGGATGTCAAGTTGGCCTACAACTCGTCCATCCACCCGGCTATCGAGATGTCGCCCTTCGAGTTCGAGCACGACTCGCCGGCCACTTCGTCGTGGGACACAATCATTCCACAAACGGCTGAGAGCGACGACCATCTTTTTTTCTTGCGTCGGATGCAAGAGCTACTTGTCAAGACACGCGACCAGATGGCCAAGACACAGCAACGCATGAGCCAAAAGGCCAATCGCCAACGTCTTCCTTGCCCATTCCGCGCCGATGATCTCGTTTGGGTTTCCGCCGCGGAATTCAGGCTTGAACAAGATATCTCTCGCAAGCTCCTCCCGAAATGGATGGGGCCTTGGCCGATCGTGGCACCCACTGGGGATGCACCCGAAGGACCTTCCTTCACCATTCAGGTGCCCGCCCACTTGCCCGTCTACCCGGTCTTTCATTGCTCCAAGTTGGCTTTTTACACGCCAGGGGAACATGACGATTATCCCGGGGGACGATCGTAAAACCCACCCTCTATGGACGGTTTTCAAGAGGTCGGCGACATCATCTCCCAGCGGCGCTACGGCAACATCATCTCCCAGCGGCGCTACGGCAACAGGCCAACCGAGTACTTGGTACGCTTTGCGTACTGCAGTCACAGAGCTGACCGTTGTTGACCCGTGCGGAACTCCAAGCAACAGCTCCGGATGTTCTCGCACGCTACGAACGAAAGATGCAAGGCAAGCCGGTATCTTCGGCTCCACGTCGCACCCGCATCCACGTTCCACCTTCAGATCGTCAGCTTTGCCCTCGCCCCGGCTTGACTTCATAAGGAGGGGGGGGTGATACATGCTGCGCCTGCAACAGGCTGCATGGGCCCCCTTTTAGGCCCGTGACATTCTCAAGCCAAAAGCCTGAAAACAAGGGCCTACAGGCCCCGTGTCGTTTCAGCCTGAAAGCCTGAAAACAAGGGCCTACAGGCCCTTTGTCGTTTCAGGCTAAATCAGGGCCTTTCCGGCCCTGAGTCTTTTCAGCCTGAAACTGAGGGCCATTTTCAGGCCCTCATCAGTTTGACCCACCCTGAAACGTGAGCAACAAACCAGGGTTTTAGCACAGGCCATTTCGGGCCTGTTTTCAAGACAACCCTTGGTTGAGCTTCAACGCAAGGTTCGACATTGGCAAGACCAGCCTCAGGTAGTTCCTAGGTACTTCCCAGGCACTTCACGTGCCGTTCAGGAGGCAGGAGGTAATCTAAGATTCGGCAGCAGCACTCTGGAGGAGCGCTGCAGGAGTAGTGGTAGCGCTAGCAGTAGTCTTCAGCGCTGGGCGCTAGTAGCGTTAGCAGTAGTCTTCAGCGCTGGGCGCCATAGGAGCTAGAGCAGTACGAGAGAGAGAGAGATTGGGCGGAGGCCAGGGAGACTTACCTTCGGCGCCATAGCTCCAGCTTCGTCTTCGAGGTACCTGCAGCACAGCGCCATCTTCACAGGTTAGTACCTGGCATGTGTGTGTGTGTGTGTGTGAGAGAGAGAGAGAGAGAGAGAGAGAGAGAGAGAGAGAGAGAGCTCTTCTTCTTCCTGTTCTCAGTCCACCATCTCCCTCTCACCCTCTCGCTATCTGACTTCACTGCATCAGCAGACTACGAGAGAGAGAGAGAGCTTGGTGACATTTGGATCCAGACTCGATGTTGAGCTGCAGACATTTTGACGAGGGATTATTTGGGACTTGTAACGAAGACTTGGTGTTGACGAATTCCCCATCTCCCCCCTCCTCTTCTTCGTCTGTTCCCCTCCTCTTCGTCTGTGCATGATCAGGACCTGGCGCATTCTTCCTGTGTGTAGCGCCAGGCCTCCTTCACACCTCGTGATGAAGATGATGTATGTTTAGTCTGCATTGCAACATTGAGCTCGTCATTGGTATTCTAGGATTCTGCTGCGCTATCTTGTACTACGTGAGAGAGGTGAGTCCCGGTCAGGTCAGGACTTGTATCTAAGTCTTCCACCATCTTTGTATGTATCAGAATGTACACTGCTTGTTGAGATTCTAGTTGCACTGCATTGTCCATTCAGTCCTTTTCATCACATTTTTTTGCGGATCCTCTGTTTTATATGTACATCGCCCAACTGGGCATGTAACACAGGCCAGGGGGCTGGGTGGGAGGGAAACGCAGGAAGGTCACCAAACTGCATTGTCCATTCCCGGTCCTAATCAACAGAACAAAATAAAAAAAATAAAAAAAGAAGAGGATCTCGCCCCCCCTTTTTTTTTTTTCCTTTTCCCATT